ATGTGTAAGGTAAAGAAAGTTTAGTGTATCATATGCCTGCTTTGTCAGTCACCCCATGCTGCTGGAGAGCAAACTGGATCAGGAGTGAGAAGATAAAGCTGAGGACAGAGCACTCTGTGTGTGAGAAGGCAGGTGAACCATGCCCCTATAACAAAACCCAGCATGCAGGTGAACAAGCCAGCGAGGAATTCATGCCCCATGCCTGTCTGACTGGCCCCAGCACCCAAGGCAGGCAGAAGTTCCCATGTTCCTCTCCACCCACTGACCTTGCAATGTCTCTGAAATGGAACAACATCCCAATGAGACTGGCCAGCAGGGTCCTATGCTATTTGGATAGGGCTGAGCAAGGGCTCAGGAAAGGGAGACCAAAAAAACATGGGATGAGAGGTTTACTCACTCTCCTAGCAGGTATAAACCACCTTCACCCTGGTTCAACTTCAGCAATTGACCAAGACCTTGAGCAACAGCACAAATATATAGTTATGAATTAAGGAGCCAGCTCCTTCGATTTCTCCCATCTGCTCCTTATCCACAGAACACCACCCACACACCTCACTTGAATTCATGCATCTTTTATTGTTACAGCTTCATCACAATTCTCAAAAGGCACTGCAACTTCTCACAGCAACACAGGCTGGCCCCTACCCCTTGCATTTATCACAAATTGATCAGAGGCAGCCGTTGCTGTAGAAACCTCAATAAGGGCACCTGAGCCCAAGTTCTATATCCTACCTTTCCTACCCTGTACAGAAACACAAGGATCGTAGCAAAGATAGCCATGAGAAGCAGACAGTGGACTGCTTCAATGACCTGCCACACTCTCTCTGGAGACGGAAGAACTGCAGAGCATTGCAGTCCACACACCAGAAGTGAGAGATGTTCTGAAGCTGACAGAAATCTGGCACTACCTACAGTCTAATACACTTGCAGCTTGAACTGCTATTAAAAAAACTGAGTGTCATTTTGCAATCAAACAGCTTCTATTGAACTCCTTATCTGTGAATATTTTTGTGCAATAAATACAGCATGTAGTATTGATTTTTGCCAACTCTTTCAAGCATAAGAAGTCTTCCCTTTGTCAGGGTAGTGTGTTGACACCACACAGTAAAAGAGGCGGTTGGACGACAGTGAGTGTATGGTGTGAAATTCTTAACAGCAAACAGAAGTTTTCAGAAACCATTTAATGAAAAGCTTGGTGAGCAGATGAGACTGGTCTAGCTACTTAAAGGAACCTCAGCTAGGCAGAGTTCTGGAGTCAGCCACAGCTTGTGCAATAAGTGGGGAAAAACACTGGAAGTGATGACTTCAAAATTATCCTGAAGTCATTACCTCATAACTGCTTGCAAAATAGCACACAGATTTTACTGGGTAATTGTCTTCAGGTGAGAAAATAAAAGTATTTTTGCAGAGCCAACATTAAACCAAAAGGACTGATATTCTCTTACAAACAAATACAACATAAATTGTAGAGATAAATATCCATGTGCAAAATAGTTTTCAAGCTTAGTCAGCACTTGCATAACCAGCACAGGTAAACAGAAGATGAAGGCATCCACTTCAGAAAAAAAAAAATACAGTTCCATTCAAGCTCTGGACTTGAACTTCAGGTTAAAGACCAAACAAACTGAAGCATCTTTCTTGGTCCTCACCACACTTGACACAAAGAAACAAGTGCAGCATTAATACAGCCCTACCAGGGCTAGTAAAAACATTCCCTCACATACACAAGCACATTGCACTCATAAGCTTTTGGATCTAAGGCATTTCAACCCTGCAGAATTCCCTGTCATCTTCTCTTTGTTGCCTTCACCCCTACTATGGGACAGCTCTAGAAAGTTTTCCACGCATTCAACAACTACATTTATTTCATCAATTCCTGTGGTCAAATAGGGTTGCCGTAGTGAATACGAGGGGCTGGTGGCCACCTTTTCCTCATCATGCCAGTGTAGAACAGGAGAGACAGCTCCTGCTCTTAAACTGCGCAGGCAGGGCAGGAGAGGTGGATTTATTTGGCTTACTTGGATTGCTTTAGACTCACATGCCTTGCTCCCTACTGTTTTCATGATGCTAGAGATTAACATACAAACAGTAAACTAAAAAGACAAATTAAAACCTTTATGCTCTCCTAGGTGTCACAGATAAAGCTGCCCACTAATCTTTGGCTGCCCCAACTCTAACTTCCCTCTTGTACTGCTGTTCTGAAAAGCAACTTTGGGAACCTCCTTCTACCTCCCCTCATATTTCTTGCTGAATTCAGGTAAGCTGGAGCATGGAGCTTTTAAAGGCACAAAAATAAAAGCGAAAAAGTCTCAACAACTTACATGACACCTACCTGACACCAAAGACTAGATGGAAAAGATGAAAAAAACCTAAATAGATAAAAGCAAGTAAATTTTCAAGAGCAACATTAGTGCCAAAATTTAACAGCAGTGACAGTTATATATACAGCAAACACTTCAGTTCACAGCACCTAGTGAAGTACACAGGTTTCTTTGCAAATGTGGGAATGAAAGGATGCAGTGAATCTATAAGTAATTAAAGAAATAAGTCTCTCTCAGCCTTCCCTGTAAACTTCCCTGTATGAAAATACATCCAACAACAGTATTTGAAGTAACTGGGAAAGGAGTTTAGAAGATTGGTTGAAAAACTCACGTTTGAAGGGGTACAACTGACCTTTCACAGACTGTCTACACTAAGAAACATCAGGGACTGTGCCCCTGGGAAGCAGCTAAAAATATAGTTTGAAAAATTACTTATTAGGCTCTGCAAAGCAGCAACAGAGGTAAGCCTAGACAGATTGCAGATTTGAAAACAATGTCTTTAACACATAAGTACAAAGATCTGATAATCTCACTGGTTCAGCTTTACATTAGGCAGAGCACCCAAGCTGGAGTTGCTACTACAGTGAGAAAGGAATTGCTGCACAGCATAAAGGTAAAAAGAATAATAAATTACAGAATCAACCATCCTTTAGAACCACATTATTGAAGTTGCACATTTTTAGACTTCACAGTAATTCATTCCAGAGCCTTGCAAAATCTGTCTTAAAGTATTAATTTAATAGTTAAAGCACAGTTTCAGCTACGTATGGGTCATGTTACTTCAGTAATGCCCTAATCTGAAGGGAGAGCCAACATCTAACAAAATAAACTGAATAAGGGTGGAATAAACTTTACATTCATCAGTGTGGCACTTCAGAGGTATCAGAAATCAGCCTGATTATTTTTATTATGACAATACAGTTCTTAACATTCACAACTTTTAAGGCGAGAGAGAAACAGTTAGAAAATAAACCAGGCTGTCACACTGCTGGCAGGCAGACACTATGACTGTCACTTCTTTGGCTTTGAGCTCTTAGCCTGTCTTCTTCCTCCAGGCCAGCACCAGCCAAGGCACAACTGCAAAGGTTCTGCTTGGTGAGCACTGACATGGGACAGGGCAGCTTCCACCACCTCTCTCTAAGCATGCACTGCCAAAATGGAAAGCAAATTCCACTTCCATGGGGAGGCCAGCAAGGTAGAAAGAAGTCTATACACAGGAGGTAGTCATTGTGATTTTTAAATAACTGCTTTGTTTTCTCTTAGCTGACTCACCATTCCCTACAGCTTTTTGGCTTTTTTAAATAAAACAAAACCAAACACAAGTTTGCTCTCCTACCAGCAACAGACTAAATAGTGTTTTTTTTTCCTTCAGTGGAGAGACGAGCTAAGAAAAGTGTGACTCTTGCTGATAAAAATGTTATTATTGGCAAAAGGCCAGTCTGAAGATGACTAGAGCAGTCTTTATGAAGCTGAAGAACAGCCACTTTTGTCCTACAACCACAGGGTGATTCCACTCACTGTTACAGCCAAGGGCAGCCAGTAGCTTGAGCACAGCAGCCTATGCATAGTGCTTGCTAGTGCCAGACCGTGTGAGTCAAACATTACTGAAGAATCCCAAGTTACAGAACTGGTGACAATTGTAGCTGCACACACTTACTACACATTACTCTCATGCACTTTTGACAGTAGCAGCCTGCACCATGTTTGCCAGTTACTTCCAAGCTTGGCTACAGTGAATTCAATTAATAGTAGAGATTTTTGTCCTGGAATAAGGCACTACAGTGAACTGGACTCAAGTTTACAGCTCTTGACAGATTACCTTTCTTTATTCTAAAACAAGCATAAAAAAAAGCACTTTAAGATAAACAAGAGGGTGGGGAGGCAAGGGGAAGATACTTGATGAAACAGTGTGATTTTCTGAAACTTTCAAGCAAGAAACTTATCTTACCTTATAATCTTTTCACTTGTGCTTACTTATCAGGGTACAATCAAAAAAAAAGAAAGGTCTGTCTTTGCAGTGAAAGCTGGTGCACTGTAAAACAGTTACTAGTTTATGTTTGTCACTTCACTGGATGGCTTTCACACAAGCCAGTTTTTCCTCAGAGCAGCCAGTCAAAACAAGCCTCAACTCCAGTCCTCAAGATTTCTTCTTCTTTTACAAGGATGCCATCAAAAGAGAAAACCTCCTTTCTTCTCTCTATGCCCCAGTCCCATTTTTGTCTCCACATAGGTATTAATCTAACTTCACACACTTGCACAGCAAAAAATAATCCAAAACTTCCCAGAGCTCTCTTGGGCCTCTGATTCAGTAACTCTTTATTGCAATGCATTTTATGAATCTGAAACAATGTTTTGGAAAGCCTGACTTCAGACATAACATGTAATGAACATAGTTAATTTAGGCAATATTTTTTACACAAATATATATATAGGTAAAAAAATAAATTGTCTTGATAAGAAGTATTGTGTAACCTGATTAAGAAACAAGTCCCCAAAAGCTGTGCGATACAGCAAAATGCACTGGTTATACAGCTGACACCAGAATGGCTGCTATTTTTAGAATTTTGAAAAACAAACAAAAAATACACCTTAAGGACGGATCATTCTACCTAAGAAATAAACCTGATTCTTTGTTGGAGATTGCAAAATGTTGAAGAGGCTCCACATTGCAACTTGACTTCAGTTGGCCCTTCTTTCCCGTTCTCGTGCAGTGACAAAGTTCAGC